GTGTTTGGCACAGGGATGTCCTTGTCCACCTGAGCTTCTGGACAAGGGACTGTAGTGTTTGGCACAGGGATGTCCTTGTCCACCTGAGCTTCTGGACAAGGGTCTGTAGTGTTTGGCACAGGGATGTCCTTGTCCACCTGAGTTTCTGGACAAGGGACTGTAGTGTTTGGCACAGGGCATTTGCTTGGGCCTTGCTTCCAGAATGTGTAAGATGATCTATGTAGCTCTGGCTCTCCTGAAACTCTGTGTAGACCAGGCTAGCCTCCAACTCAAATCAGGAGTCCACCTGCCTGAGTGCTTTAATTAAAGATTTATCTACTCTGCCCAACTGGCAGAAGGCTTTTGAGCTGGTTTCTGGGCCCATCAGCTAGATCCCTGAGGATTAGAAGGCTTTAAGTCACTGTTTGAGAACTGTAAGCATCAGCCGTCCCCAGGATGAGGAGGATGCGCTGACCATACCTGTTTTGGCATTTATTGTTATTTCCCCGTAGAGAGCTGGTGACACAGTTGTCCTTGGTGGCCCCGTGCTGCCAGTTCATTGGCTGGAGATGGTCACCTTCCAGGTATAAAGGCAGGGGAAAGCTGGAGATTTCCAGAAAAGACTTTGGCCTCTGAGGTTGGGAGGTATCTGCTGAGACTAGAATCTAGTCTGAGGTCTGGCCCTGTGCCGGGGTGAATGCCATTGTCCTGCAACTGGCTTGTGTGTATAGCTCCTCCTAAACCAGTGTAGGTGCAGAATGCCCAGAAAGTGGTTGTTTTGTTTGTTTTCTAGTGCTGAGATTGAACCTAGTGCACACTGGGCAAGCATTCTGCCATGAACTCTGTCCCAGACCTGCTTTGAGGGGTCAGTTCAGGTCATCATCAGGTTTTACCTCCTTTTTTTTTTTTTTTTTTTTTTTGGTTTGTTTTTGTTGTTGTTGTTTTGTTTGTTGGTTGGTTTTTTGAGAAAGGGTTTCTCTGTGTAGCCCTGGCTGTCCTGGAACTCACTCTGTAGACCAGGCTGGCCTCGAACTCAGAAATCCACCTGCCTCTGCCTCCCGAGTGCTGGGATTAAAGGCGTGCACCACCACTGCCCGGCCAGGTTTTACCTCCTTATCCAGCCTAATTGCGTAGGCTCACTTTCTAAACCAGGTAGACCTCAACTGTGCCTTCTCCAGAGTAGCTGGGATCAAAGACCACTAGGTCAGCCAGCCTTAAGTAAAGTTACTCCAGTAGACACAGTGAAATTCTTTATTCTTAAATTCCCACCCTCCACCTTGGGACAGTATGACAATTGTACATGATGAAACTCATTAGACAAAGCTCTTAGGAAAAGAGAAATCCTCTCAACAAGTCCTGTTGTAAGTTAAGCTTTAGCACTGGAGAGTGACGTGGAGTCCTCAGAATAGACATACAATGTCCAAGAAAATTTCAAATACTCTAAAATCCTAGTCCTTCTTTAAATATTTAATACAAAAGCAGAAAAATCACCTCTATTGAGTGATTTATCCTGTAGTAATTCCGTTCTCATGGGCTGGAGTCCAAAGGCATAGCATTGCCCCCTTCTGATGATTGTGCTCACTTCAACTTCCTGGGCTGTTTGCTGGGCAATTGGCAAACACAGCACACAGTGTATTCTCAAAAAGCAAACTGAAAGCCAGGCATGATGGCCCAATGCGTCCTATAATCCCAGCACATGGGAAACTGAGGAAGGACAGTCTTTTGGCTGGCAAATAAATGGTCCCAGAAGGCTTGGTGATGTGCCTGCCATGGGCACAGGAAGAGTCATCATGATGGCTCTCCTAGTCCTGTCCAGTCCTGGGCCATGAGTACTAGGTCTCCTTGAGGTACTTGCTTCCAGTCATGGTCTCAGGGCCAGTTTGGGGGAGGGGAAAGCTACAGTTCTGTGTCTCCATTGACACCCATAGGGTTACCTAATCTTGATCATGATTCCAGACAGTTCTCAAAGCTTCAGTTTTTCTATGATAGTCTTCTAGGGTCTCCATTACAGCACCTAGAACAGAACCTAGAACTTTGGCCCATTTCTTTGATAAATACATAAATAAATAAATAAAATGCCATTCTGAGGCTGATACCCCCAGCTCCAGTCTTGTTCCCAGACTCAGGCTCCTTCTCTAGACTTATGTAAACATGGGCGTTGGCACAGTACAAAAGCAGCGGGTTGTCTTCAGACCTGGGCAACACCACCCTTCACCCTGTTCAGTGAACTGCACTTTGTGGTCAAGAAAGGCTGGCAAGGCCAGGCCTTAACAGCAGGGAGGTGTTCAGAAGATTCTCTGCTAAGGTGTTCAGGTTTGGCATTGCCAGGATGGCATTTAGAAAAAAAAAACATGGAAATCACCTCCCTTTAAAATAATGGCCTGGGGGCTAGAAAGGCAGAAACACAAGGCCTCAGACAGAGCAGGGGTGGGAGCATAAGGCCTAGGAGCAAGGACCTGCTGAGCTCTACTCAGAACCTTCCCTCATGGAAAATGTATGAGTGACCAGTGAGATGGGAGACGAAGGCTCAGGAGTCCCCGAGACCTCCACACTGCTGCTTCCACCCGTGGGACTTGCAGGGAGGGAGCACTGAGCCTGCTGAGCATCTGCAGGAAGGCAAGGGAAGCCGGAGATAGCTGTACTGTGGCCTCTGAGGCAGTCACTGTCCTTCCTGCCTCAGCCCCATGGCACCTCACCAGGAAGGCTTCTGCATGGATTTGGCCTTGCTTTTGAGGGAAAGAGGAAGCTTTGCTATGATGTTCCTGCCCAAAGCCTAGGCTAGCAACAGAGATGCAGGAGAAGGCAGAACTGTGGTCTCCAAGGCTGGGCAGCAGGCAGTTGGGTCCAGCTTAGGAGAGAAGCTCCAAGAGCAATTTCCAGATGCGCACAGTGCCGGGTTCCTCGAAGCCAGATCCTGCAGGGGCAATGCTGGCTGCCAAGAGGAAAACCTCCCTCTGGTTGTCACTAGCAAGGAGGCCGAGCTCCTGCTGCAGCTCCACCATACTCATGGCCCCACTCAGGTCCTGTAGTGGACACAAGCCAGCACAGCATGGCTGTCAGACAGTGTTCGCAGTGTGATACTGCCCTTGTCAGCCATGACAGACATAAATGTTCCGCTACCACGCTGGATCCCCAAATCCCAGGAGGGGTCTACATCCTATGGAAGAAACTCAGTGCCCTCCTTCATCCTGACTCTCCTTTGTGGCACCCTTCTTTCATGGAGGTATCCACCAGCGTCACAAGAAAGAGAGCCCTTCCTACTTGTTAGGCACCACTGCCTACAAGTCTTTGATTCTCACAGTCCACTTAATGTACCCCACTTCTCACTCAGCTCAGTGCAGAGGCAGGCATCCCAGCTCCACCCTCCTGTATGTCCCTATGGAGACTACAAACACCCTGAGCTGTAGCGGCCCCACCTATAAAGTAGAAACAGTATTGTATACCTTGGGTAAGGCCAATAATGTCATTTAAGCGAGGTGTGGTGGTGCACACCTACAATCCCAGCACTCAGGGAGGGGCAGAATGAGCTTTAGCCAGCCTGGGTCTCACAGTACAACTATCTAAGTGTTCGAGACAGGTGTCTCAAAAAAAAAAATCCAGGAAAATAGAATATTGAAAACCGCCTGGCACATAGTAAGTACTTATATTTCTTACATCTCTAAAGGGTAACAGAGGCCGGGCGGTGGTGGTGCACGCCTTTAATCCCAGCACTTGGGAGGCAGAGGCTGGCGGATTTCTGAGTTCGAGGCCAGCCTGGTCTACAGAGTGAGTTCCAGGACAGCCCGGGCTATACAGAGAAATCCTGTCTCAAAAAACCAGAAAAAAAAAATAAAAAAAATAAAGGGTAACAGAAGATAGGGAATGGAGAGGAGACGCGGAGGGAAGGGTGAGAGGTGGAAAGGGGAGAGATCAGAGAAGATACAGATTAGAAGGGCAGGGACAGGATGCCAGGCACTGACTGCTCATGGTGCCCAGGCCTTTGTGAGAAAACCAACTGGCCCACCTCCCATAGTGCTCACCTGCTTGTTGGCCACGATCACAACAGGCAGATCGGGGTCCTTGTCCAGCAGTTTCTGCAGCTCCTGCCGAGCCCAGGGCAACCTTAGGCGATCAGTCGAATCCAACATGAACACAAGAACGTCCACCTCATTCACAAACTCCTTCCAGTAGAAGCGCAGGTTCTGGCTGCCACCAACTGAAGAGAGGCCAAGGGGCAGCTCAGAGCCCAGAGCTCCCTGCAGCATGGCTCTGCCCACAGCCCCAACCCACTTCCAGCTCCTAAGGTTCCACTAGCCAGGAACAAAGAAGGTACCAGAGCCAGTCAGATCTCCTGAGAGGCAGCTACCTTTGTGTACCAGTCTCTTACTGAACAAAGAGGTTTCAGCAGACCCCAAAGGTACCATCTGTGATGTTTCCTTCATAGGGCTGCAGTTGTCAAGTTGTCTGTTGGACTGTCTTGCCTCTTACCAGCTCTTAGCTTCCTCCCTGGTCAGTGATAACTGATGAGAAGCCAGGGGTCCCTAAGCCTAGAAAAGCTGGAATCCCTTGCCCTGCCAGTGTACCACCACCCCCAATTCAGTCTCCACCCATCCCTTCCTCTTCCCTCGGGAACACTGCACAGAGTCATGCTGAACAACAGTAGCCTAGGCTGCCTTTCTGTTCCTCTCTGCCTCTCTGCTCAGTTCCCCTGGCTACCCTGCATCCCATTCCAGTTCTGCTTCTTTTCTCTCCACTCTAAATCCCCACAAGCCTCAGCACTTGGCACACAGCAGGCACTCACCAAGTACTGACTGAGTGCTTACCAGGTGCCAAGCACTGATCTGGGTGCTGGGGATACAGAAACCGAGCAGGCTGGAGGCCCGGCTCTCAGGGATCTCCCTCCCCAGCTAGAATGGACCAGGCAATCAGATAAAACATATTCTAGAATGAACGGAATCAAAAACAAGGGAAAACAAGGGGAAGTGGCTGGAGTCTGTGGTTGATGGTCTTGGGTTGGGTGGTCTGGAGATGTCTCCTCAAGGAGGCTGGATGTGAGCTGAGGAGAGGAAGATGAGGAGCTATCCAGGGGAAGAAACAAAAGCAAGCATCTCAGGCAGAGCAAGGAGAGAGATGCTCATGCATCTGAGAAAAAGAAAAAGAAAACATCGAGAGCAAGGCGCCTCCAGAGAGAGGAAAGGCAGGAGCTGGCTCGTAAGGCTCCAGACCACGATTCTGAAAGAGAACAGTCGCTGACACTGCAGGGCGAGCTGCAAGGGGGCAACTATAGTTCTAGATTGGAGAGAAGAGGCTTGCACCAGGCAGCAGTAGACGGAGTAGGAGGACAGTCTGCAAGTGCAGAAACGACAGAACCGAGACGCCAGATTCCAGAGGTGGTGCGCTAAGGAAGGTGTCACCAGTGATAAATCTGCTCCCTTGCCGGGGTTTGCCACAGTCTGCATTCTCAGCTGGCCTCCAGGCCAGGATGCTGGGACCATGGGAAGAAAGCTCCAGGACTTGACAGCTTTCCTGCCACCGCCTCCTGAGGGAATTACAGGTGTGAACCACCTTGCCTGACAGCCATCTGAATCCTGATGTCTGTCAGAACACAGGTGGGTGAGAACACCTCACCTGGGTGGGAAAGTGAACACTCCTGTCAGACCCTCACTGAACTCCTGTCCTTGGCGCAAGAGATAGGGAAAGTTTGATGAGTGGTCCCAAGTTCCCAATAAAGGTCAATGTTTGCTACGACCATGGAGAAAAGGTATGGCCAGGCCTGGCCAGACCGCAGATGCTTAGGACAGAAGAACAAGGCCCATTCAGGCCGAGCCAGGCTCTCAAATCTCAGTTCTATCCCCTAGTGCTTAGATAAGCACAGCCAGGCTTCAAGGTTTTAGTCCTGTGCCTCGAAGGCTCCCCTTCCAACTCCTCAGAGACTGAGGCTAGACCCAGGTGGCCAAGTCCAAAATCCCAAGAAGCCTAGTGCCATGGGTAGGGTTCCTCAGTCCTCTCTCAGATCACTCACTTAATAAACCCCCATCAGATACATATTGAAGGACCGAGCCTTTGGGCCAGAAATGGATCATACACTCTGTGACCAGGGTGCTCCTGGCCTCATCGGGGACAGAAGGTGATGTGACAAATCCTGCAGCAGGAGAGGACCAGAGTCACGGAGGGGCCAGAGTAAGCTTCAAAGGATGTCCCAGATGGTGGAGAAGGGAGGTTCACGTGTTCAAGACCAGCCTCAATACCATGAAACCATCTCAAACGAACCACAAAACCCTGACTGACAGAAGAAAAGACACTACAGCCTAAAGAATAAGTGATACTAGTTTGTTAAGTGTCCCAAGCAAAGAAATGCATGCACAGAACAGGTAAGAAACAAGTACCTTTCCTAAGGGTCAACCTAAGGGTCAGAAGGACCTTGCACTAGAACACTGGAACACTGGGGAACCTCTCAAGGTCTAACTTGTTGGAAACCTGTTTGCACAGGGATCTAATCAGCAGATTAACTGATGGCAGGTTTATGGAAATGTCTGGGGTATATTTTATAAGCAATGCCTGTCAAACACTTGGGATACGAACCCTTAGCTGTTTGTCAGTATAAGGCTTTTGTGGCGAAGGATAGGTGGACCATTTGGAGACACGGGATAAGGAAGAACCCTAAGTGCCAGCATGTTCTGTATCTTGTGCCCTGAGGAGAAGCAGGAAGGATTTCATAAAGGGGAAATGTCCTGATTAGAAATGCATTTTACGATTCCTCCAAATAGGCCTGGCGGTGGTGGCGCACGCCTTTAATCCCAGCACTTGGGAGGCAGAGGCAGGTGGATTTCTGAGTTAGAGAGTTCGAGGCTAGCCTGGTCTACAGAGTGAGTTCCAGGACAGCCAGAGCTACACAGAGAAACCCTGTCTCGAAAAACCAAACCAAAAAAAAAAAAGATTCCTCCAAATAATCCAGGCCCTGGGCCAGCAGTTTTGATGGGGAGAGGGGAGGGGGTGTCTCTTGCTCACTCTCTAACAGGTCCACCTCGAAATTCTTGGTAGGCAGCCGAACAGAGTTGAAGCCCCAGGTGGGGACGTGGCCTTCCACCGGTGGCTTCCCGGCCAGCATGCGCAGGAACGTGCTTTTCCCTGTGCCATCCAACCCCAGCACCAGGACTTCGCGCTGCTCCAGCTCCTCCAACGCCGGCTCATCTTCCTCGTCCTCGGGCTGTGAGGCAGAGATGAAGGCTGCAATCTCCAAACCTCCCTCCTGACTCTTCCCTAGGGACAACGGAATGCATGGCGGTGCCCATGCACGCCCTCCACGCGTCCCAGGGCAGGCACCTGTGGCCTGAAATAGCAGCGCAGGAGCTGCTTTTTGAGTCCTAAACTAAAAACCTCACTTTTCTTTCTGACTCCTCCAGATCTCCGGCACATTCTTCCCCATCACAAATCCTTGGCTTCTACGAATTCTAAGCCCAAGAAAATCCCAAGATCTAGCGGTCAGCCGTACCGGGCCTGAGGGCATCCCCGGGGCGGCGCCACTGCGCTAACTGCACTGGTCTCTGGCTGGCTCCTGCCGCGCCCTCGGGGCTAGCGAGCGGATGCCCTATCCCGGCCCTCGCGCTTGCACTCCACGGTCACAGCATCACAGTATGCGCAGGCCTCCCAGCCCTCGGCGGCTCACACTCACCTCCCACACGTCCCACTGAGGGAGGCGGGCAGTGTCTGCGCCCCACCAGGCCTCGCCCCGGTCCCAGCGCCGCTCCCGGCCGCGGCCAAAGTAAGCTTTCCAAAGGATAAAGAGCACCGAGCCCAGCACGGCTGCGGCGCCACCCAGAGCCAGCACCAAGGGGCCCAGTGGCCGCGGCGCCATTTGGCCAGGGAGTAAGACCGACCAGCCTGCGGTGGAAGATGGTGCTGTGGCCGCGCCCACCCGTCCGACCCCACCACACTACAAGCCCCACAATGCACTGCTCGCTGCCAGCGAAGGCAGCGCGCGTCTTGCGGCGTGGAAGGGGGACAAGGGTGGGATGGGCTTTCCGAGCTGGGGGCTCGGTCCAGGGTAGATCTTCCACTCCTTGCCTGGTGTGGTAGACGTGAGGCTGTGCAGACCTGTTGAGCCCCTTCAGTACACCAGAGAAGGAAACACTGAGACTTAGCAGGTATTATAGAAGTTGCTCAACGTCGCACCATAGTCTAGTTTTGGGTTTAAAGTCAATTTATGTCACCTGGTATCTCTCAGGACCACAAAGAGAAATCACGAAATTTATTATATGAGAGCATACACCAGTGGGATGGCAGGAGGAAATAGCTTCTCCAAACCTTCTTTGGTGGCCTCCTGGAGGCCAAGGCTTGTGGTGCTGTGCACAGTGATGAAGAATGTCTGGCAAGGAGAGTTTAGAGCAATCACTTTGTCAGCCACTCCTAGAGACTGCAGGGCTTCCAAGTACCGCCTCAGATGGAAGAGGAATAGGACAAATGGTCTCCCAAGCTACAGCAGTCCTTTGGCCTTCACTGTGGTTGCGGGCTAATGGGAGAGAGGCCATGACTCCCAGTGTCCAGCTATGCCTGCCTCACTAAAGTAGTACATACTACACACTCCTTAGAGAGCCAGTTTCTCTGTGCCCCAGTCCCTGTTCTTTTTGGGTCTCCTTACTTTTGGCAGGTGTGCTCCTCCCCACAGTTACCTGGCAACAGCCAGGTAGGCCTGCCCACTATAAAAGGGGCTGCTTGCCCCCTCCTCTCTCTGTTACCCTCTTACTCTCTTGCCTCTAGCTTCTCTCTGTCCCCTCGCCCTTCCCCCTCTCTCCACGTGGTCATGGCTGGCCTCCACTTCTCTCCTGTCTCTCTTCTCTTTCTCCACCATCTTCTCCCGTTTCTCTCCCCACCTTTGCCCTCTGCCCTGAATAAACCTCCTCCCCTTTGGAACCACTTGGTCTGGTGTTGTCTGTTCTAAGCTGCGCGCCAAAGTCTAACAGTGACCCCAACCATAAGATTTTCTTTGCTTGCTACTTGATAACTGTAGTTTTGCTACCGTTGTGAATTGCAATTCAAGTACATGGGACTATGGGACTGACCCACAGGTTGGGACCCAGTGCTTTGCTGTTCCTGCTACTGCTTGCCTGGCAGGAGAGAGCTCCTCTCCCCTCCCCTCCTCTCCCCTCCTCTCCCCTCCCCTCCTTTCCCCTCCTCTCCCCTCCCCCCTTTTCCCCTACCCTCTTCTCCCCTCCTCTGCCCTCCCCTCCTCTTCTCTCCCCTTCTTGTGGAGAACTTTTGGGGCTGCTTGGCAGAAATCTGACATTGGCCAAGGACAAGGAAATGGGCTTTAGGCAGGAATCAGACTTTGGGCCATGACCAGGAAGTTCAGGCAGGAGTCTTTTTAGGCTAAAACAGAGAAGTAATTTCAGTCAGGAATCCAAGTCTTAGGCTAGAACAAAGAAGTAGGCCTCAGGCATGAATATGACTGTGGGCTAGGACAGGTAAGTAGGCTCAGATATTTTGTCATCCTGATGAGCCCTTAGACACAGCAAGAGTGATCACGGGTGATCACTGGACTTTGTATATTGCCTTGTTTGTTCCTTGACTGTTTATATCTATTGTATTGTTGGTTCCTCAACCTGTAACTGACCTAAATACTTGCATGTAATTAAAAGGGCTTAAAAGAAAAGTGGGGATAAACAAAGCTGCCTCAGCCTTCAGCCTCAGAACTGGCTGGGTTCATGCTGCAATTTTGTCTGTCTCTGTTCTTTAAATCCTCACTCCTGTGCTGGAGAACCTGTTGACTGACTGAGCAGGCTTGGTCACTTCCTCTTCTCTCCCCTCCCCTCCTCTCCCTCTCCCCTCCTCTCCTCTTCCTTTCTCCCTCCTCTCCCTCTCCTCTCCCTTCCCCTCCTCTCTCTCTCCCCCCTTCCTCTGTTTTTCTTCATATATACCACTAGAGTGCCTGGTGTCTCCCAAGGTCAAGAGGACTCTATAGACAATAGAACTGGAGTTAATGAATGATTTTGAGCTGACATATTGGACTCTGGGACTAGAATCTGAGTCCTCTGCAAAAGTACTAAGTGTTCTAAGGTGCTGCGTCACCTCTCCAGTGCCCCCCTTGGAGGGAACATTTAAATACAGCCTTCGCTTTTGCTATCAGGCTATTGACACAATGGGCCCCAAGAAATTAAAATTTACCCCTCCCCAGGAATTGAAGGAGGAGACAGAGAAGTTGAGGCAGTTAGAGATTGGCCCCAATAAGACCTGACTCTTTTAGCATTTTGTTCATAGTCTCCTGATCTGGATTGTAGCCCATGGACTAAAGCCCCTTTGCTCAATGACTTTTAATCATAGTGCTTCATGAGAGAGCTCTGGTGCTGGGGAAAGTCATCCTTTTGTACACAAGGAAAATTCAAGTTGTTTTCCACCTCCTACCCACTATTGCTTTGTTTTGTAACCATTTTAGAACTACCCCTTGCCACTTGAACCATACCCTCTCTTGGAACCCCCTCCCACTTCTAAAGTTTCTCTCTTTTTTTTTTTTTTTTGGTTTTTGTTTTTTGAGACAGGGTTTCTCTGTGTAGCCCTGGCTGTCCTGGAACTCACTCTGTAGACCAGGCTGGCCTCGAACTCAGAAATCCGCCTGTCTCTGCCTCCCAAGTGCTGGGATTAAAGGCGTGCGCCACCACCGCCCGGCTAAGTTTCTCTTTCTTAAAAAAGAAAAAACTATGAGCGGCCATGTGGGTGCTGTATTGGATATTGAACCCGGATCCTCTAGAAGAGCAACCAACACTTTCAACACTGAGGCATCTCTCCAGCTCTTTCTCTCTCTAATAAACGACATTAAAGCACTGACTCTTGAACCATTCCTCCTCCATAGGACAAGATCCTGGAGTAACGGCAGCTTCCAGCACTAACCACTGCAGGGACCCCTTGGCCACTAGTACTGAGTCTCATGTTTGGAGAAAGAAAGGTTGAAACGGGTGCCAAAACCGTGCAACTTTCCAGACCCCCTCAAAGAAGGGCATTACCCTTCTAATACCGTTGGCATTAGAAGCGGCTTTAAGGTCAGCCTTGGAATTCAGAGATGACGTCACCCCTAGGCGGCAAGGACCCTCTTGTTGCCATGGCAGCCGCCACACACTCCCAGCGTGCACCTCACTTGTATGTGGTGGTGAGCATGATTACTTGGCTTCTACATCAAGACCCAAATAAAAATCAGAGTCCCCGACCCCTTACCCCTTATTGCCTCTTTTCTTTCTCGCTCCCCCCCCCACCCCCAATAAAACCTCTTTCGTGGGGCTGTGTTGGTCTGGTGTGATCTGTCTGGTTACGAGCCGCTTTCAAACACAACAGGTACGATAGCTGAAGTGACTGGCTATTGACGGGTGGGCCTATAGTTCGTCAGACTGCTTTGCCTTTTTAGCTTTGTTTTTTAGAGACTGAGTCTTTTTACTTTTTTAGCCTTGGTTGGCCTGGGGCTTGCTTTACAGACCAGGCTTTCTTCAAACTCACAGAGATCAGCCAGATACTGAAATTGAAGGCAGGCAACATCATGCCTGCCAGTTTGTCTGCTAACACAAACATCATTCCAGGTCCCTGAAGATGTACTCCAGGGGGTCATTATGAAGCAGAATAAGGTAGAAAAAAATCAACTATTATGTTTACTTAAAGTATAACTTGTACTGTGTTTTGCCAAACATGACTTCACTTTGTTACCAGGAGCAGAACAACCTAAAGAAGTGGCTGAAACACAAAAGGCTATTGCTCACAGTAACCTGATAATAAACACGTATGTGTCAACCTAACATATGCCTTTGAAACCCCAAACCTCCCAAAGCTAACTACCAGCTTGTGCTTCTGTTTGCAGTCTGTGGTTTAGAGTATAAAATGAGAATGCAAACTGTACCAGAGACTGAAGACTTCTGTCTTTAGGCAGGGTCTTACTATGTAGATCAGGTTGGCCTCCAATTTATAGCATTTTGCCTATCTCTGCCTCCACAAGGCTGGGATTAAAGACAGATTCTACCATGCCCAGCAAAATGATAAGGAGGTTTTGTCCAGACAAGGCCATTAGAGGTTGTACAAGCCAGTAATCCCAGCAGAAAAGGAGGAGCTTTGTGATTTTGAGACTAGTCTAATCTACATAATGAGTTCCTGATCAGGACAACATAAACAAACCTTGTCCTAAAAAACAAACTCTGGGCCGGGCGGTGGTGGCACACTCCTTTAATCCCAGCACTTGGGAGGCAGAGGCAGGCGGATTTCTGAGTTCGAGGCCAGCCTGGTCTACAGTGAGTTCCAGGACAGCCAGGGCTATACAGAGAAACTCTGTTTCAAAAAAACAAAAACAAAACAAACAAACAAACTCTGTGCGTGCATGTGTGTGTGTGTATAGTTTGTTTTTTTTTTTTTTAAGGCAATTTGGGGGGACTGGAAAGATTGCTCAAGAAAACACTGACTGCTCTTGCAGAGGACCCAAGTTCGGTTCCCAACACCCACATGGCAATTTAAGAGCCTCCATAATGCCAGTTCCAGAGAACCCAGCGTTTTTTTCTGGCCTCTTTGGGCGTTGATCCTGACTTTTTCTTTTCTTTCTTTCTTATTTTAAATTTTCATCCTTTCATTTGAACTGATCTAAACTTCTAATAATGTATTCTTATTTTATATACAAAAAAAGAAATACAGACCAGGCTTTCTTCAAACTCACAGAGATCAGCCAGATACTGAAATTGAAGTATACAGTTATTGAAATATACAGTTATGAGCTTGCTACGTGGTTGCTGGGAATTGAACTCAGGACCTCTGGAAGAGAATCAGTGCTCTTAAACTCTGAGCCATCTCTCCAGCCCTGACCTTCTCTTTGGAGGCCTTATGCCTGTCTTGTGAGTGAAACAAGATCAAAGAAAATGAAAGAGAGGCAATATCACGGGTGAACTGAAGCCAAGACTGCTCTTTTGGCCTTGTCTGGACAAAAACTCCTTATCATTTTGCTGGACATGGTAGAGTCTGTCTTTAATCCCAGCCATGTGGAGGCAGAGATAGGCAAAATGCTATAAATTGGAGGCCAACCTGATCTACATAGTGAGACCCTGCCTAAAGACAGAAAATGGTTTACGTTGTACTAAGCTACTTTGTATTTGTGTGGGTGTCTATGTGGTCAGAGGATAACAACATTAGTAGTTCTCCTTTTCTGTGTGTCCTGGGGATCAAACTCAAGTGCTTTTCCAGGGTATCAAACCCAGGTCCTCCGGAAGAAGTGCTCTTGACTGCTAAGTCACCTTTCTAGCGCCTCCTCGACTATTTCCACACTGAAGGAAACTAAACATAGAGACAAGTCTTTGTTTTCTTTTTCTTTTTTTTTTTTAAAGAATTATTTAGCCCGGCGGTGGTGGCGCACGCCTTTAATCCCAGCACTTGGGAGGCAGAGCAGGCGGATTTCTGAGTTCAAGGCCAGCCTGGTCTACAGAGTGAGTTCCAGGACAGCCAGGACTACACAGAGAAACCCTGTCTCCAAAAATCAAAAAAAAATATTTATGTTATTCTGTCTAAACTCCACCTCCACAGTTATCTGGCAACACCTAGGTATGCTCCTCCCCACAGTTACCTGGCAATAGCCAGGTAAACCTACCCTCTATAAAAGGGGCTGCTTGCCTCCTCCTTTCTCTCTTGCTCTCTTGCCTCTAGCTTCTCTCTGTCCCCTAGCCTCTCCCCAATTTCTTCCCCTCCTCTCTCCACGTGGACATGGCCTGCCTCCATTTCTCTCCTCCATTTCTCTCTTCTCTTCTCTCTCTGCCATTCCTCCAGCTTCTCCCCCCATCCTCTGCCCTGAATTAAACCTCCCTCATGGAACCATTTGGTCTGGCGTTATCTGTCTAAGCTACGCTCGAAAATCTAACAATTTAATTTAATATGAGTACAGTGTAGCTGTCTTCAGACACACTGGAAGAGGGCATCAGATCCCTTTACAGATGGTTATGAGCCACCATTGGGTTGCTGGGAATTGAACTCAGGACCTCTGGAAGAGGAGCAGTCAGTGCTCTTAACCGTTGCACCATCTCTCCAGCCCCCAGAAGTTGTTTTCTTAAATCTGTATTCAGCCTAGATTACAGGAACAGCCAACAGTTACCACTTGAGAAAAATTATCCATGGTGGACAGGTTGCACCATGGGGCTTCAGCAGCCTGTCCTGGAAAACAATCTCTCTCCCTGGCAACACGAGCTCTTTGGGTCCATCTTGTGGAGCCAGACCTAAAACAATGACCAACTAGCTAACACTCCGACCAATATTACCCAGTTATGAATGCTGTTTATCTTCTATTTTAATTATTTTTTAAAAACTTTTGTTTGGAGGACTGGAGAGGTGGCTCACCAGTTAAGAACACTCGATGTTCTTCCAGGGGACCCAGCTTGGTTCCCTGCATCTTCTGTCTGTAACTCCAATTTCAGGGATTCCAATGTCTTCTTCTAGCCTCCATGGGTAGGTACTAGGCACACATATGATGCAAAGACATACATGCAGGCCAAATACTAACATATATAAAATAAAGCAAATAAAAATTTAAAAGTATTTCTCAGGGGAGCCAGAGAGATGACTCAGTTATTAAGCGGACTATCTGCTCTTCCAGAGGACCCAGGTTCAAATCCCAGTATCCATATAGCACCTCACAACTGCCTGCACTCCAGTTCCAAGGGACCCATTGGCATATACTAAATATACTATACTAAAGAATCACCTCATTAGGAAGGTTGAGAAATATTGGTGCATCGTTCATGGACCTCTACGAGAGAGGGGAAGGAGGACAGGAAATGGTGACGGGGCCTGGGAAAAGTCTTTGTGAGCTTTGTTGGCCTTGATTTCAAAGGGTATTTACCATGCCTTTTCCAGCTTTTGTTTGTTTGTTTTTCGAGGTAGGGATTGTCTGTGTAGCGCTGGCTGTCTTGGAACTTTCTTTGTAGACCAGGCTGACTTTGAACTCCGAGATCCACCTTCCTCCGCCTCCGGAGTTGCTGGGATTAAAGGTGGCACCGCCACGCCAGGTGTATGTATTAAGTATGTGGGAATGTGCGAGCGAGTAGGGTGTCCTTGGGAGCCAGAAGAGGGCAGCAGACCCCGCAGAGCTGTAGTTACAAGACGTTGTGAGATACCAAACGTGGGTGCTGGGAACAAACCCAGGTCCTCCACAAGTGCAGTAGTAGCTGTTTTAACTGCTGAACCATCTCCAGCCATCAAACTTCATTCTTCTCCCCCTCCCCGTCCCCGCCTCCTTCCCCCGCACTCCTTGATTGACACAATGCTCCTGTCTCAGCCTCCAAGTGCCACGATTACAGTCGCAGAGAGAGTGCTGGTAACGAGTGACTTCCTTTCTGGGACCCCCGTGGGATTCCCTTTTAGAGTCCAACCTACAGGGAGACTTGGAGGTGTTCGGTGGTGGTGGCTATGGTGACGCGCTCAGATCTCGGACTACAACTCCCAGCATGCCCCGCGGACCTGCGAGTCAAGTCTCGCGCGAATTGCGGCGGTCTAGGGCTAGTTTACGGTTCGGCTGCCAGCCGGCGACAGTCTTCCGTCGGGGAGCGTTCGTCGCGCTCTCACGATGGCTCTGCTCTGCTCGGCCCAGCAGCCTCTTGGGCCATCTGGAGCCTCGGAACCTCTTTAGTGCGGAAGTTCGGGCCGCAGGCGGCGGGCAAGCAGGTGACCGACCGTGGCCTGGCGGTGCTTGGGGCAGCCTGAGTTCCGGGGCGCCATGGCCTGGGGGCCGGGTGGGGGTCTTGTTTCACCCTAGCGGGGCTCGAGGGACCCTAGAAGGATTCCCCAGGGAGCCTCGGAGCACCCGCTCGCCGCGAACCTGCTGGCTTAGCCTTGAGGGTTGGGACCGTGGAGAGGTCGGGACGGGCTTTACACATCCCAGAAGCTTTGGTTTGTACCTCCCGAAGGAGAGTTGTGGGCTTGGGGTCGCTGAGTGGGGAGGGAAGGGCGTGTGTCTGGCTTGCGGATGTCCTCTGGGCCGCAGTGAGTGGCCCCTGTGAACTTGAACAGAAATTCGGACCAATAATGCCTGCTGTGCAGTGCAGTACAGAGCAAGACGAGGGCTGTGCCAGATGGGATGGATTCCTTTGAGTCCGCGTTAGTGATACTAAGTTGGTCTTCTGTGTTGGCGTAGCTCATTTCTGTCAGGGGGAAGCTCTAATGGGGAATGGTCGAATGGTCAGGGCATCGTTTGGTGGACTCGGGCGCTGTACCAACCTTGGTTGTTTATTGTTGCTTAGAACCTCTGGATGGACCCTCCCTCAGAAGCTTTGCTCATTTGCAGAAGCTGGGCAATGCTTCTCATTAACATCTGTCTGTCAGCATAGTCCAGCGTCATTTCACTGTGGTAAGGTGTCTGTCTTCACTGATGTTTGTCTTTATCCTCTCAGTTGTTAAGATGAGCTGGCCAGTGGATACTGGCGAAACAGTGAACTTTATCCTTGTGGGGGTGTGTTTGTCACTCATTGGTTCTAGTGTGTGTGTGTTTCAACCTTACGAACAAGCCATAAATCTCTGCGTGTCTGTCAAAAGAACAGCACTGGAGTGACCCTCTGCTGTTCAGTATAAGAAAATGCCCTTTGTTGTTTTTTTTATTAGGTGGCAGGGACTGAGCTCCGAATTCTGTATAGAAAAAAAAAACACCTGGATCCCAGTGTCTCAATGGCTTCAAGACAACCAGAAATGCCTGGTAAACTTCAGTTCTTATTGGCTAAGTCTGTTTTGCCCTCAGAGAACTTGTTTTCTCTGAATCCTGTAGTATCGGTTCCTTGCAGTTGTCTTCACTTAGTATTATGCCATCACAGTCTCAGCCATGGTATAAACCCAGACCTTAGCTTAGCACCTCTTCCCTTGAGTGTGACAAAGGAGAAGGATTAACTGTGTTTGTAGGACATGCCCGTACAGTTACATTTCCCTGTTTTGAGGTGGGTAGGGATAGGATGGAGGTCTGGGCAAAGGGTACAAATCACTGTTAAGTCTTAGTTGTAAAAACGTTTGCATCAACATTTAGTGTGTTCTCGGCTTGTGTTGCACAGTAATGTGTGAGCTGCTGAGATCCTTGATTCCTCTTTGGACTGTTACCAGAAAGGTCAGTCTGAATCTTGGAATCTCAGAAGAATGTACTGCGGGTCTGTTGTGAAGAGTAAACACTTTTTGTTGTTAGTTTTTTCTGAGACAGGATTTCTCTGTATGGTTCTGGCTGTCCTGAAACTCTGTATTTAGACCAGGCTGGCCTTGAACTCACAGAGATATTCCTGCCTCTACCTCCCAAGTGCTGCCTTTAAAGGCAGGAACCACCACACCCAGCTTAAACAGTTTTTGCAAATGAAGTTCAGAGTTGTTCCTAAATCTGCATTTACTGCTCAAAAAAGTGAGACCCTGTCTCACTTTGTAGACTTGGCTGCCCTGGAACTCAGATATCCTGCCTCTGCCTCTTGAGTGCTGGGATCAAATGCACATACACTGTGCCTGGCTCAAAACAGGTTTTTTTTTTTTGTTGTTGTTTTTTGTTTTTTTGTTTTTTGTTTTTGATTTTTAGAGACAGGGTTTCTCTGTGTATCCCTGGCTGTCCTGGAACTCACTCTGTAGACCAGGCTGGCCTCGAACTCAGAAATCCGCCTGCCTCAAAACAGGTTTTGATCTTTTTGTAGGAACATATTTCCTAGTAGGTATCAGCTTACTGTTGTATGAAGCCATTGGGCAAGGTGTTAAGCATGGTTTGACATTGCTCCCTAGTTAGGTGGGTTAATGGAAGCTTCCTTCATGTGCCCCAATACCATTTGTCTCCACCATCATGTGTGTCTTCCACTCATACTGGACTCTCATAAAGTCCTGGTCACCATGCAGAGCTGTGGCGTTGCTCTCATGAGGTTAAGGCTTTGTAGCATGGAAGCATGGAAAGTGTGAGCCCTGGCTTTGGTGTCTACTGCACATTTGCTAGCCGTGTGATAGTGCTTATGTTCTGTACCACAGTTTTCTGAGCTGGGAAGTGGGAAAACAGTTTTACTTAGTGAGGATTAGATACAAGGAGGGCTCTCAGTGCCAGGTCATTTTGTTTGCATGTCTTATTTCCTTGAGATAGCAATGTACATACTGTAAATTCACCTAAGTGGGTGATTTCCTGGTTGGTGTGTTCATAAAGTTATGCATTCATCAGATTAATCTACTTACAAAGCATTTTCATGCCCCTAGAAATACTTTGTACCCACCAGGAGATACACCTCATTGCCCTCCCCCTGGCCCTTGGCAGTAACAGTAGCTTCTTGGGCTTGTTAGTTATTAATATTGGTGATAGTCACATGGTAGCTCTGAGTCCCCTTGCTGTGAAACTTTCCAGGGTTTGGGAATTGCTGCCAGGCAGGTTGATACCTTAAAGAGTACTATTATGTAACAGGAAAGTATCACCATGAAGGCAGGTTCTGGATCAGTAACCAGACAAATGATCCCTGCTCTCTGCTCTGGCACAGCTTAGAGTACACTTGAAGCATAGTGCCTTCGTCACAGCTGGACATTCCAGCAGTCAGTTGTCATGGACAAGAATGGCAGGCTCAAGCTGGGAGTGCTGATGAGAGTGGCTGTCAGTAATGTCTGTGATGGAAATGTTGAAATCATCACAATGTTAGAAACTAGAGGTGGTGCCAGACCACAGACTATGAACTGTTTCTTGTAGTTCTCTTTGGAGGGAAGACCCAGAAGGTACAGGGCTCTGCATAAACTTGGTCAAGCCTCAGCTAGCCATTTTCTTGCAAGTTTTGAAATGAGATAGGTTTGATATTTGACTGGAAATTGTGCTTTGAAGTTGGGACTTCGCATAGGTAAATTTAACTTGAGGTTAAGGTTCTTTATTCTTGAAAAATTGATTAAGCCCTGGTGTGGTGGCATGTGCCAGTAGTTCTAGCACTTGGGTAGAGCTGAGGCAGGAAGACTGACAGAACTTGAGGCCAGCTGTGCAGGCTGTATAGTGAGTACCAACCAGCCAGGACTACAGAGCAAGACCCTATCTAACGGGATCGAGTTGCTGAGCTGGTATTGTAGAGTGTTGTGGATAAAGAAGGTACAGCACTGTACAGTGTCATTAGTGCTGTTATTACTCCTTTGAATGGATTAGTTGTCCCCTAAGTTCCACAGCTTTCCTGTCTACAGATTAACATAAAGCCACTAGTTGGCTAGTTGATATCCCATATTGACAGGTGTCTCTGTTCTAGCTCTTGCTCCCAGTGGGCCTTTAGGCAAGATGTCCCTGCCCATCGGGATGTGCCGCCGGGCATTCAGCTATGATGATGCCCTAGAGGACCCAGCGCCCATGACTCCTCCTCCATCGGACATGGGCAGCATCCCCTGGAAGCCAGTCATTCCAGAGCGCAAGTATCAGCATCTTGACAAGGTACCTTACCCTGCTGGCAGCGGCTGGCAAACTCACCCCCTGTTCCTTTTCCTCCTCTTCTTCCTCTTCTTCTTCTTCCTCTTCCTCCTCCTCCTCTTCTTCTTCCTCTTCCTCCTCCTCCTCCAGAAGCTTTGGTGGTTCTCAGTCCTACAAAACCAGGCACCAGTTGTCCCCTTTGTTCATCTTCTGTACCTTTTTCAAATCCAGAATTTAAGCAGTAGTGTTGTCTCCACGAGATGCTTCTGGACTCTGCTTCCCCAACTAAAAAGCCAAACTCCAGAACCTCCATACCTGAGTTCTGATGAATCCTGCTTGCCTCTTTCTAGCTTCTCTGTTATCCAGCCATAGAGTTATTAGAATGTTCGCATAGACACAGTGAGGGAGTTGGGGGAAAGGACCCAAGTCTAAAATTGAAATTAATTTATGTTGTATGTGTACCCTCTCCTCACAGCCCGACTACTTTTATATAGTCAGAGTTTTATGCACTAAATGAAGTCTTACATTGGGATGTTTTCCTTTCTCTTGTGCAATGGCAGTGTACAAAAGTTTCAGATTTTGGGGCGCTTGAGAGTTTAGGTTTGAGTAGTGATTCTCAGCCTATATTGTATTGCAATATTAAGCTGAAGGTCTGGCATAGAGTTCAAAAAACCTTTAAGAGGTTTGTTTTGTGATCGTCATGAGCACAGGTCTCTTGAAGGCCTGCTGTGTCGTTGCTTGTGCTTTTTCCCTTTGCTGGCAGGGAGCATGGCACCTCTCCTCAGGTACAGCACTGTCCGCACTCAGGCTCGATTCCTGCAGCTCAGTGGATGTGCTGTGCACTCAGGGCCAGTGCCTGCAGCTCAGTGGACGTACTGTGCACGGAAGTCTGTGCTGCTCGCCCGATACCCATCACCCAGAACACAAGGAAGGTCATCGTGGCGTCTGAGTTAGCTGTACGCTCAGACAGAGCCATTTTATCTGCAGACTCTGCTGGGGCTTGAGAGGAAGCATGTTGTGAGGGTCTTTGTAAGCAGACCTGGGATGGTTCCCAAGTGTTTGTGACTTTCCTCACAGTTTTACCAGAGCACAGTGCCTCTGTCTGGTGGACATTGAAGGAGTGAGTAGGAGGCTTAGAGGCTGGGCAGGTGTGGGGAGCTGAGCTGGGTGCTGTCTGAGCTCTCCTCTCTGGTGACGGATTTCTGTCTCCCTCCTTCAGTGCTGTGTGGAGAACTCCTTATGTTAGTTGTCTGCTGTAATCCAACCCAGACAGCTGTTGGAGAGAAAAAGTCCTGTTTAAGACAGTGGGGAGACTATAGGAACTGGCAGCCAGCATAAGGAAGGTCTTCAGTCTAAGGCTAGCCTGAGTTTTATCCAAAGGCCCCTACCTAAAGAAACAAGACCCCTAAGCAGTTATGATAAAAACCTATATACAAACAAACATGAAAAAACCCTTCCAGCTGTTTTCTAAGGCTGGTACAGGAGAATTGCCTGCTTGGGCTACAGAGTAAATTCAAGGCAAGCTCAGGCAACTTAGTGAGATCTTGTCTCAAAATAGATGAGCAGTGGGTAAGCTCAGTGGTAGAGTACTTGCTGAGCATTTGCAAGGTCCTGGGTTCAGTCCTCAGCCTCATGTACCGGGGGACCAACCATATGTGAGCTGCTGTGCAGGTCCCCAGCAGTACTTGCTGGCCTAGTCTCATTTCCTGTTGCTGTGTACAGTACTCAGGCAGAGGCAGCTTCACAGAAGTGGTTTACTTTAGCTCACAGTTCAAGGAACGGTCCATCTTGGGGGAATGAAGGTGGAAGAGCTTGAAGGAGAGGGTCTTGGCTCATTCAGTCAGGAGCAGAGAGGTGAATGCGCGCTGCTGCTCGTCCCTCTGTCTTACCCAGCCCAGGCTCCCTGCCCAGGGAGCCAGCAGTGTCTCCTGTAATGAAGACGAGTCTTCCCACATCAGTGAACACAATCAAGATAGTCCCTCAGACACTCACAAAGGCTAACCTAATACAGATAATTCCTAATGCGTGCCCAAAGGCCTTTCTCCTAAGTGGTTAAGTCAAGTTAATACTAACCATCACACTTGGGAGTTTGTTAGAACCAATTTTACTTAAAAAATACTACTATTAGTATTTTCTGTGTGCTGAGATAGAATCCAATCCAAGGCTTCATATAAGCTGGGCTAGAAACAGATTTATTTTTTTCCTTTTTGACCTAGGGTCTCACTATGTAGCCCAGGTTGGCTTCAAATTCATGGTAGTTTTCAGCCTCCAGAGTGCTGGGACCGAGGAAGGGCACCACTGTACTCTGTTTATGTACTTCTAGAGATGGAGCCCTTGTGTCTCATCTCTGACAGCCCAGACCTACTGAGCAGCCTGAAATGTGTTTGGCCAGCACTTGGGACTGATGGGGGCCGGAGTCTGAGGGAAGTTCTGTTCAGTTGAATAAGGCTTGGTTGTAGGAGGTGTCTGGTCCACTTTGGTTTTGCCTTGTTTGTCCTTTCTTCTCTCCCTCATTAATGTTTCCTCAGTTTTGGAGACAAGGTTTTGGTAGGTATTCCAATCTTGCCTTGAACTCACTATGTAGCTCAGGCTAGACTTGAACCCACACCAGTTCTCCTGCCTCAGCCTCTCTAGCACTGGGATTATACGTGTGCCAACCAATGGTGTTTCATCTGTAGTCTTATGGGCAGATGGAAGCTGAAAGTTAGGCCTCAGGGCTCCAAACTGCCTTTCTTCCTGTGGTTCCAGGTTCTTCCCGTAAAGTTCAGTCTTGTCACTTTGGCAAGAAGAGGTGACCACTGTCCCCTTCAAATATTTCTTCACTTAGCAGGCTACATATTCTTGTAACTTTCTCCAGAGATGTCAGCTTAGCTGTGTGGCTCCCCTGCCCTGCTCATGTGATTCCTTACCTCTCTTGAACAGACAGAGGAAGGAGCAGCCAGTGTCTCTTCCCTTGCTGGGACTCCATCAACAGCCACTGACAGTTCAGACAAGGCCCCGGTGGTGAAGGCTAAAGCTACCCATGTCATCATGAGTTCCTTGATCACAAGTAAGCGCCCTTCAGTCTCTGCAGTGAACAGTGAGGGAGGAAGAAGTTGGGTCTCAGCTGCAGATGATTCTCAGGCAGTCTGCTTCCTTCTCGAGGTGGTGGAGCTGAGAGGCTCAGCAGCCACTCAGATGCGAGGAGCTGAGTTTGGGGCCTCTGGAAGAGAGCAAGTGCTTTTACCCACCGAGCCATCTCTCCTCATTTTAGACTTCTGCCACAAGTTATCTAAGCTTCTTCTTTCTCAAGGGCCATTCTGGCAAGCGTGGGAAGTTAATTATTCAGTCCGTGGCTCTGTATGTGTGCAGTAATACCCACATCAGCACTGAGGTGCACAGAGCTTTCCCTTGGTTGGCTCTTCTGTCAGAGCTCTTTACTTTTCTCCAGGAGGGCATCAGTTTGTCTTGGTCAGTTCTGGAAAGTTTACTTAAACAGTCACAGTCCAGACCCACTTTGGTTTTCTGTAACTGACCCATTTGAAGCAGCAGCTCCTACTTGTATTTTGTAGCTTGACTGTTCTGGTGTCATAAAGCACAGCTGTTCTCCTGGCTTCCGAGGGCATTGGGCATGAACGTAGTACACATGAAAAGGAAGTGGAATGTTTAAACCTAAAGTCCACCTGGGGGGACAGACAGTCCCCGGCTGCCATGCTCATGTATAGTGTGCAAAGTTTGTAGCTTAAGAAAAAATCATCTCTTATGCATCCCATAGTGTGAGCGACTGGTGACATAATAAGCCAAGCTGAAAGGACATGGTTAGTTAGCCAGGGAAGGAACAGTAACAGGCAGGTCATATGTAAGAAGCTGTAGTCTGTAGGCCTGGTCTAGGTCAAGGCAGGTTGTCATGCTAAGACTCTGGCTGGTACCTTGGTGCCAGCTGGCAGGGATGCTTCCCTTTGGCAAAGTTTCTGTGTAGGTGGTAATTCTCTCAAGGAGCTTAGTGCTTTGGGAATTCTTACTATATGCATACATTAGGTGCCTTTTGCTTGCTCTTGCTGAATGTCAGGTGTCAGAGTCTGAGTGAGAGCAGTTGAAACATCCAGCATCCCTTCAGGGCAGTCTGCTTTTTGCTGTGCTGGGAAGGAAGGCTGGCTTCTGAGAGAGCCTTTGTGTCAGGGCATGTCTGGCATACCCCTGACTCTCCAGTGCTCAGTGTGGCCTCTTGCTTTTGGGGAGAACAAGACACCTATACTGTCTTGGCTGGTTTGCTACTGGTGAGGGGTTGAGCATGACTGTCCTCTCTTTTCAGAACAGACCCAGGAGAGCATCCAGCATTTTGAACAACAGGCAGGACTGAGAGATGCTGGCTACACACCCCATAAGGGCCTTACCACTGAGGAGACCAAGTATCTTCGAGTGGCAGAAGCACTCCATGTAAGCAAGAATGGGCAGACAGACTGGGACTGCCCTGCTAAGGTGGCACTCCTGGCTGAAGGCCTGAATGCCTTAGCTGCAGATGCTTTGCTTATGTATGACACGTATGAGAACTTTGTGAACTGTAAACTGTTTTATATGTATGCCAGAGTCATTGGCTATGAGGAGGGAGAGGGAATCACAGTTCCAAGAGTTCATAGCTCAGCTGGGTATCTTCTTGTTTATTTAAGGGGTAAGGTCTTTGTTTATAAACTCAGGCTGGTATGGTGCCATAGTCCTTTAATTGCAGTGTATATGTGAGCATGAGGGTTTCCAGGCTAGCCAGGGCTACATAGTGAGAACCTGTTTCAAAAAACAAAACTAAAATCCAGGCTAGCTTTAAACTGTGATCCCCCTGCCTCGGCTTTCCAAGTGCTGGGATTACAGGTGTGCACCACCATGGCCAGAGAATACTTAACTTTTTAAAGATTGAATTTAGGAGCTGGGTGTGACAGTGCTCATCTCTAATCCCAGCTTGTGGGAGGCAGAGGCAGCGAAGATCTCTGGGTTCGAGGCCAGCCAGCCTGGTCAGCTTAGTGAGTTCCAGGACAGCCAGGACTACATTGAAGGAACCTGTCTTGGGGTGGGGTTACATGATTTTGGTGAGTTTATTTAATGATGGTTAATATGTTTCCTTTGTGCTACCAGATAATTGAACCCAGGACCTCATGTATACGGCCAGTGTTCTATCATTGAGCTACGTCTCTCACCCATTGTTTTTTGTCTTACGGATTTATTTTCTATGCATGGTGTTTTGTCTCCAAGTATTTCTATGCACTACTTTTATACTTGGTACTTGCAAGAGGGCATACAGTCTCCTAGAACTGGAGATATAGATGATTACGAGCTGCCAGGTGGGTGCTGGGAACCCAACTGCGGTCCTCTGGAAGAACAGCTAGTGCTCTTAACTGCTGAGCCATCTCTCAAACCCCCAACTCTAGTTTTTGAGATGTATCTTTCTGTGAAGTTAAGGCTGGCCTCAAAGTCACAGTTCTCCTTCCTCAGCGTCAGGTGCTGGGGTTACTGATAAAGTCACCACACAAATCTGTGATAAAGTTTTAATGACTTTCTTGAACTTTTTCTTTTTTTTACATTTATTTCTTGTGTGTGTGTGTGTGTGTGTGTGTGTGTGTGTGTATTCTCTCCTCCCCTCCTGTAGATTGTCAGCCTGGCAGCACATGCCTTTGCCTACTAACCAGTCTCCCAGTGTTCATGATTCTTTTAGAGAGGCTGCTTTCTACTAACTGGTGCTCTGTGACTCACACATCACATGAGCTTGGCATTGATTCTTTGAGTAGATATTCTGTTGTGTAAATAAAGATACTGGAAAGATAAGTCAGTCAGGTACAGAAGCATGGGGACCACTCCTTAGAAACCATGGATAAAGCCAGACATGGTGGTGCTGGCACCTCAGTGCTAGGGAGGAAAAGCTAGGTGGATTCCTAGAACTTGCTAGCCCACCAGCCTGGTCTAATCAGCTCCAGATCCCAGTGAGACATGATCTCAACAAAACAATACAAACCAAACCAAACCGCACACGTGGAGGTCTCAGTCGCAGCAGCAATCGGTTTCAGACGTGGCGGTCTTAGACATGGGAATGCACACCTTCTAACACTTGGAGAGGCAGGCGGGTCTGTGTGTGTGAGGCCAGCCTAGTCTATACAGTGAGTTCCAGGTCAGCCAGACCCTGCACAGTGACAACCAAAACAAGAGAAAGCTACCAAAAAGGTGGGTGCCTTTTGAGTAGTGACAGGCAGTTGACCTTCATATGCACACCTTCCCCTCACAGTACATACACATACGTACGTACATACATACATACATACATGTGGAAAGCTGCGGCTTGTGCTGACAGCATTCGCCATTATAAGATGGCGCTGGCATCCGGTGCTCCTCCAAGTAAACAAGTAAACCGCGCATGTGCTATGGTAAAAGTGTGCCAAAGTCACAGCCCATCCTGGGGCGTTTTGGCGGGTAACGAGTAAGCAGCCAATCAGAAATGAACACGCCGCTCCAAGGGTATATAAACAGTGCCTCTTCCGGGCCCGGGGTCTTCCTCCTTTCATTAACAATAAACGTTTGCTGCGGAAGGATCCTGGTGTCCGCGTGTGTCTTGCTGGCAAGACGATTGCGCGAGGGCCACACATTCATACAGGCAATCACTCAGGCACATAAAAAAATAAAAATAAATCTTTAACACAAGAAATAAAACCGAAGTAGCCATTACAAGTTCCTTTGGGAAAAGGGGGAACATCAAAAACACAGACGATAGTGTATAGTGTGTCTATGTGGGGGTAGGGAAGATACAGGACACCATGGACGGTCTGTCTGTATGGTGAGTATTCCAGATGAATCTGCAGGCTAAGTTTAAAAGCCACTCCTGAGAGAAATCATGTTGAGTTGATACCATTTGCACTTTGACAAGATAGATGCTTCTGAAGGTGGGCACTCCGTTTTTGCCATTCATTTTGTAACAGATTGTTTATTTTGTTTAAAAAAATATTTTTAGAATTATGTGTATGAGTACAGTGTCGCTGTCTTCAGACGCACCAGAAGAGGGCATCAGAACCCATTACAGATGGTCGTGAGCCACCATGTGGTTGCTGGGAATTGAACTCAGGACCTCTAGAAAGAGCAGTCAGTGCTCTTAACCACTGAGCCATCTCTCCAGCCCTGTTACAGATAGTTAGCTTACACAAATTGCTGTGTTGAAAGTCAGCTTAGGTCCAGCAAGGGCGTGTCCCTCATGGAGGACAGACATAGTGTTGTGAAGCTTCCGCTTAGACCTGAGCAGCAGCTCGGATTCTCCCTGCTAAGCCGCCAACTGTTAGCAGTATTTTGATGGTACTGTGGAGGTGGTTGGCTATGGGAGGAAAGAGGAGGTTTCTCAGAAGAGGCATCTCACTGAAGAGGGCAGCAAGCCTGACTTGGCTTTGAAAGTTTGAGAAGGGCAGAGATTGTACTGAAAGACAAGAGCAGAACTGAAGGCCAGGCCTGAGGGCCACCGTGGTGGCTCTTTCCAGAGACATTTTGGCTTTGTTGGAAACCTAAGTTTTGGTGTACAGCTTGTAGCACAGGAATGTTGAGATGCCATAGAGTACAGTCCCTTAGAGACATGGAATCTGTGTGGTGTGGAAGGAACAAAATCACTGCTGCCTCAAGTTAGGATATGCATCATAGGGCTGATGATGCTGACTGACCTACTGTGTGTCCGATCTCACTTTGAAAAGTCTCTTCTTACCCATTGTGACAGAAACTAAAGCTGCAGAGTGGAGAGACAACAAAAGAAGAGAAGCCCCCTGCGTCAGCCCAGTCCACCCCGAGCAGCACCCCTCACTCGTCCCCTAAGCAGAAGTCCAGGTCAGTCTCCCTGGACCCTGTGAGCCGGAGTCTCTGGGGAAGCCAGTGCTGAGATGATGCTGGGCTCCAGCTCCAGCCTGTGGGTTCTGGTTGCTTTGGCGGATGGCACACAGGAGTATGTGTTTACTTCTCTGTTCCAGGGGCTGGTTTCCATCTGGCTCCTCCACAGCCTTACCTGCTCCGAATCCTCAGACCATGGATCCTGGGAGTGGAAACGACAGGAGCTCAGCAGATAGATGGAGCCTCTTTGGACCACGACCCCTGCAGAAATCTGATTCTGGTAAGGTCGCTTCAGAAAGGCCATCGAGGCATCCAGCTACTATGTGGGCCGGGGTTATAATCTGTGGTTTTCTTTGGCAGGTTTTGCCATTCAGGCTTACAAAGGTGCCCCCAAACCCTCTCCTATGGAGGTGATGCGTGCCCAGGCCACACGAGCAGGTGAAGATCCACCAACCTTCAAGCCGCCAAAGATGGATGTCCCAATGGTAGAAGGAAAGAAACCACCACCTCGGACCCATAATCTTAAACCCCGTGACCTGAATGTGCTCACACCTACTGGCTTCTAGAATGCTTCTGTCCAGGGTCTGTAACTTCCCTGGGCTCTGACACAGGAGCGATGTGGTTACCTGAGGCCTGAGTGTGCGGATTGTCCTTGGGTGAGAGAGACCACTTTGCACTGCTTTCAGGTTGGTGGAAAATGTCAGTGGTGTCGAGTTGAGGGCCTCACTATTGTTTTTAAGTCATTTATCCTAGAGAAGGACTCCGATCCTTGCTTTCCTTGGTCAATTATGCTGGAGTGCTTCCAATACTAAGGCCTCTTGATTCTTTTCCCTTGATCCCTATGAGCACTGAGTAATCATGATAGAGGTTGCCCACCAACCAGTTGGGGACAGCTCATGGCTATACTTGGCAGGACCCTGGCTCTCTAAGCTGAACTACAATGCGCTCGATCCCTCCCTCCCTCCTTCCCTCTCTCCCTCTCTATGTAGCCCCGTCTGTCCTGGAAATACAGGCTGGCCCACGGAGATGCACCTGCCTGCCTCCCGAGTGCTGGGATTAAAGGCCTGCCCCACCTCCCCCCACTGCCCTGCTCAGGTTCTGTCTCTTGCTTAGTCCAGCACACCACTTTGTTCACTTGGCCCCTGCACTTGGAGGGCTGTGTATCTGTTGTGTCACAGGACAAATACTAGGTCTTGTACAGCCCCTTTCTTTCGCACTTTAACATGGAATTAATTTAACTTCTAATTCAGTATGCTGGTTTCATACTGGCAGATGGTTCCCACTCCAATTACTGAAGTGTCACCCCTAGTTCCTGGATATTGTGTTTTTTTAGTTGTGTGTATTTTGTTTTGAGACAGCGTCTTACTTTGTAACAATCAGATGCATAGAGAAGATGTACCTGCCTCTGCCTCCCAGGGCTGGGATTGAAGGTGTGCACACCCACACCCAGCTTAAGCTTTTGTTAGAGTAGATGATAGGTACAACTGGATCATGTAGTCTTCAGGTTCACATGAACTTGGTGCCACTGTATTCTGATAACACTGAGGTAGCCGCATTTGTTCCGTAATACATCTTATTGAGGAAAGGAGGTCTGTCCCGTCTCCTCACTCTTCACAGGTCTGTTGGTCTTGAACACTCACATATGATTGCTCAATCATTTTAGATTGTAGTCTGTTTACAAAATGAGCTAACCTCATAGAGAAGCCCTGGAGTCTAAGATTGTTGTAAAAATTAATTTATTTGTGTTATCTTGTATTGACAAATAAAAATCTTTACTACTTTCTCAAGCCCAGGTCTGTCTTGTCCATTCTGCCTACCCTGTAGTGGAGCCTGAGCATTGTAAATGTTTTATATTCTATCTTACTAACATCAGATGTTTTAACAGGCTCTGGTCTTTTGTTTCTTTTGCCTGCTTTTTAAATAAACTGGCCACAGAGTCATATTCATGAGCAATATAAAAAGTCTAGTATACAATGTGGTCTATTCAGGAAAATTTTTTTTCCAGAAACAGGCCGTCAGTACCTTGACCAATGTAACACTGATGATGGATTGTTCAGCAGAAGGGTTCTTTCACATCTTTCATGAAATGTTGGACATATAGTGCATATCATTGCCTGTTTCAAAAGCATAGATAAATAATTTAATAAAAAATATATACACCTTGTATATTTAAGCCAAATTTGAATAGGCTAGGATAAAGATTATTTAAAAAAAAGATATATACTGAAGAGTTATAAAGTTATTACAACCTACAGATAAATAAGATAGGTTTGGTCCTATATTCCTAACTACTGTTGATACTTCAGGGCTCCTAAGGAGCTGGCAACAGTCAGGAGGTATCCTTGGTGCTCAGTGCTTAGAGGTCTGGCTGCCTCCGTGCTCTGCGGCAGGCTCTGTGTCGGGGTTCAAGTCTGCAGCGTAGAAGAGCAGCAGCTTCAACAAATGCACTTTGTCTTGGAGCTGGGGAACTAAAGGTTCTCCCAGTATGTGGACCAGGCGGCTGCGGAAGGCCTCAATCTGTTTCTCCACATCAACCACCGTAATGTCGTCTCCTTGTTGGGGCTTGGGCTTAATTCTTTTGATGATTAAGTCTTTCCGATCAATCACTGAGCTCCGTAGGTGCTCTGCAAGAGGGAAGGAATCAAACATTTTTTTTTTTTAAATTCCTTGGAATTTAAAACCTAAAGTCCAATTTGATGGCTACTAGGAGACAACAGAAAGGCCATGTGTGTTACTGTGAGAGCCCCATTTCCAAAAGGTCTCTGTTCTTGCCTCAAGAAAAAACTAGTTTGCGCCAGGCGTTGGTGGCGCACGCCTTTAATCCCAGCACTTGGGAGGCAGAGGCAGGGGGATTTCTGAGTTCGAGAGTTCGAGGCCAGCCTGGTCCACAGAGTGAGTTCCAAGACAGCCAGTGCTACACAGAGAAACCCTGTCTCGAAAAAAAAAAAAAAGAAAAGAAAAAAAAACTAGTTTGCTGGGCATGAAGGTGAATGCCTTTATCCCAGCACTTGTATCTCTGAGTTAAGCCCAGCCTGGTGTACATTAAGAGTTCTAGGACAGCCAGAAGTCAATGGACCCTGCTTTAGTAAAAAGAAAAGAACAAAACAAAACTTCTTACAGATATACATTTATTTTTAAAACTTATGAACTGACCTGCAGTTCTCTGGAAGGAGTAAGTGGTCTTACCTGCTGAGCAATCTCTCCAAGAAACTGTATATTAAAAATACTTTAATTTTTTTTCATTGGACTTAAACAGTAGCTCTGTACTATAAAACTTATAACTTGGGGAAAACCTCATGTGAATTAAATTTTTTTCCTACTTAGTGTTGTGTGTACCTTTCATCGAGAGTGCTCAAGATGCACACACTGTGCAACTGTGCTCTGGCCTGCAGCAGCCACTTTGATACTGAATTAGAAGTTAGGTGGGAAAGTGCTTGTTGAGCCCACGGAGCTGGGGCTCACTACCACAACTCCAACCTCAGGGGTTTTGGTTGTGAGAGTTTCAAACAGAGAAGACCCCATAGTTTGCCGCAGCCAGGCAGAATGAAACTTAAGTGATGGAATATTTACTGATATTTAATACTTTTCTTCATACAAAAATAATTCTTCTGAGTTACATATCACCAGCATTGTAGAGAAGTGAACCTAGAAGCCTATGTGTAGCTCACCCTGTAATCCTGGATTTTGAATTTAAGAGGCCAAGGCAGGAGCATAGCCGTGAGTATAGAAGCAGCCTGGGGGGGGGGAGGGAGGGGGGGAGGGGAGGGGGGGGGGAAGAGGGAGCGGGAGAGGGAGAGGGAGAGGGAGAGGGAGAGAGAGAGA